TTCAAGCAAATTTGTTGAACTATGAATTTGTTTAATCTGTACATACCATTTTTCTTAATTACACTTAAAATTATCAACTACAGTGGTATTTAAGATTGAAATATTATTTTGTAGAACATGTCACCTTACTCAAGATATTTTCTAGGTTTATCTGCAAATCTCCTGATTTCATTTTTCTTTATAGCTGAATGATATTTGATATGTACCACATGTTCATTTTCAAGTCATCAGTTGAAGACATTTGGATTGTTCTCACTTCCCAGCTGTTGTGAAAAAGGTGGCAATGAACACTGGTGAACAAACATCTGTGTAATAGGATGTTCAGTGTTTTGGTCATATGCCACTGAGTAGTATAGCTGAGTCATATGACAGATACAGTTATAGTCCTCTGAATATTCTCCATCCTGTTTTCCAGAGTGGCTACCTACCAAGAGTGAAGGGGGAATCTGCTTTCTCCATAACCTTGACAGAATTTGTTATCAGTTGTTTTGTTGATTTTAGGCATGCTGTCCCAGATGACATGAAATGTGAAAGTTGCTTTAGTTTGCATTTTTCCAATTGCTAAGGATGATGAAGGAATTTTCAAGATTTTATTAGCAATTTTTTATTTACTCTCCTGAGAACACCATGTTTACATCCCAGGCCCATTTTTCAAATGGTACTTTGGTTCTTGGACTCCTTGTTTTTGGAATTCTTTATATATTCTGAGTATTAATCCTCTGTCAGATGTATAACTGGAAGAGATTATCTTCCATTCTGTTTGTTTCTTCTTTACTTGGCTGATGGTTTCTTAGCCATGAAGAAGTGTTTTGACTTTATGGAGACCCACTTATCAATTGTTTGCCTCAGTTTCTTTGCAAACGGAGTCCTATCCAGAAAGACAAATGCCACGTGGTCTCTCTTATCTGCAGTTCCTAGTTCTAAATCCTCAGATGTACATATGCAACATGTAGTAATAACAAACCAGAAAAATATAAAGGAACCATATGTTGGGGGCTTGGGAAGGAATAGCAGAATATAGATAATATGAAGTGAGAAATAGGATAATATATATTATACATGCACGCACACACACACACACACACACACACACACACGTTCATTTACACATATCTTAAAGTTAAGCCACTTGGGGTGATAGTAATCCTCACAAGAACCATTTCAAGGCATGAGAACTCTCTTTGAATGATTACCTGGAGCTCCATGTGATTACAGATATAACCCTCGGTTGAAGGTGGACACCATTGATGAAGACACTTCACCTTTAGGACAAAAGACTTAGATGATTCAGGCTTGATCTGACCTCTTTCTTGCAGTTTGGCTTCCATGATTTCAGAAAATACTACACAAGCTGCCAAGGGAAGGGAGCAGTAAAACTATCTACCAAGCTTCAGTACCCATGAAACAAAATAATTACCAGAATGGCAAGATAATCATAAAAATAAAAACAGAGTCACATGTCAGTGGCAACCAACAGCTCTCTAATTGGACTTAAAGCTCAGTCAACAGGAGGGAAATCATGTATAGTACTAGCAATCTAGGCATCTTCCTGGGGGGTAGAATTCTTTGAAAAGAAGCTATTACTGTCACTTTGTTAGACCACCACAATTCCTTACTACATTCTAAATCTTATTCTTATATCATAGTTAAGTGTAGCTACTAATGCTAATTAAAGAAGCTTCTCTTTGTAGCTAACGGAGACTGTAACATGAAATTACAACTAGACACAATACAGAGATTAACAGATTGTGGTATCCCAGCCCAGTGAGCATATCTTTGTCACAGCTTCTGTATCTATCACTCAAGGAACATCATAGAAGAGGTTGCAGAGAGATTGTAAGAGCCAGAATATCAGGAAGTCTGCTGTGAAACTCTCTGTCCTAAGAATGACTGTGTTAACAAGATGGTGACAATGACAGTATTAATAGACATGTTAATGTGAAAGGAGAAAAGTTTTACAGGGTCTCATCCCTAGACAAAGAACTACAGGCAACCAATGACTATTGGAAAAAGGAGAATTAACCGCTCCCAGGGGTCAGCTCCCTTATTTGTTGTCAAATGCAGAATGGTCAACCTTGAAATATATACAAACAACAAAAATAGACTCAGCAGGTGTCTTTTCATATATATATATATATATATATATATATATATATATATATATATATTATGTGTGTGTGTGTGTGTATAACACTAATAATCAAAAATGAAGTAGCTATTCATTTAGGAGGGGAGACACAGAAAGGGCTGAAAGTATGGTAGCTGGGAAGTGCTAGAAGGAGAAAAAGGAAAGGAGACAGTAATGTCATTCTATTTCAAACAAAATATTTCAAAAAAGAAAATATATAAACATGCATACTTCAAGTTATGGATGCTATGCACTCCTGGGAATAATGTTTGACGGAGGTTCAATTCCAAGAAATAATAAGTTCAAGGACATTCACTGAATTTTCTTTTCATGAGGGATAGAAAGAGAATCAGGACAAAGACAAGGGAAGAAGAGGGAAGACATGACCATGGAATGTTAACCGAGGCACTGTGAAAGAGAGAAACTGGAGAGAGTCTCCCTCTGCTTTTGAGTGTGCTTGGATGTTGGAGTATAAAACCTGTCCTTATTCTTTCAGAAAATGGCAGCTACTTGAAGTTGAAGACTCCAATGGGTGAACAGAGATTTAGAATAGGCAGTCTTAAAGATTCATCTTTGTTTACTAGGCAATTTACAAAAGAAACATTTTAAAATTATGCACATATTCTAAAGTGTGAGGAGATTGAAGCAACTGAGATTGTGGACATTTCTATTAATTTCTTTTAATATTTAGAAAACAACTTGTAAAAAATGGGGACATTTCTTTAAACTATAATACTCATTTAATATTTATCAAGTTTAATGACCAAAGAAATTCTGACCTTTCTTGAACTACCTTGATACTTGTTCTGAGGGAGGCATTTGTTCACAGTGGGAGCTATTCTGGCCCCAAGTGATTACAAGGGTTATATCTCAAGGGGATGCAGTGAGGCCCACATAAAGCAGCTTTATGGTGCTACAGTCAGTTTCTATGTAACAAGCCCCATTTCTCCCAATTTCTATAAAATGACTATTTTCTCTATTGATTAAACAAGATTGTGAATGAAATTTGCCTACATAGATAAAGGCAAAATTGACTCTCAGAGAAACTATGTCTGATCAAGGACTCACTCGACTACTATAGCAGACTGTTTCCAGTTCCTCAGACCTTTGTGAAGGACCCCTCTCTCCACTCTCTTCCTCAGGAGTGTCTTGCATGGCTCTCTGCAGAAGTAGCTTCAGAGTCTGCCGTTGCAACCTGCGGTGCCTAATGGAGCCAATGAGGAAGTAAATGATGGGATTGGCACAGCTATTAACACAGGAAAGGAATGTCATAATTTCATAAGTTTCATAATATAAAATACTTTGAAATTCCTTAATCCACCACAAGAGGAACCAGAAGATTCCAAAGGGGAGACCAAAGAATATGAAGACCACCACTGTGAGAGTGATGGTTATGAAGAATCTGGTCACAGGAATCCTGTGTGATCCACAGATGATCTTGACCAACAGGGCCAGGCTGGACACAGAAATAACCACAAGTAATACAATTATAAATGCAGCAGTGATAAAGTTACAAGTACGACAGAAAGAATATTCAGAAAGACTGGACGGAAAGACACAGCCTAGCCATAACAGGAGGCTCAACAGTAGAGATAAAGCCCAGAGTAGAGCACACAAGATGGCTGATGTGTGTCTTGGTCTTTGGCAGTGATACCAGATGGGCCACATAACAGATAGGCAGCGCTCAGCACTGATGGTTGCAATCATACACATGCCTGCAAGGTAAGCAAAGATTAATACAATGAGGAGAAAATAAAAGTAGCTGATATATAGCTGAAGGACATGCATCAGGGAATGCACAGTCTGAGTTCAAAGGTACAAGAAATCAGCACCAGCCAGGTTGAGGACATAGACAGAGAAGGCATTCCTATG